AAGAGTGAAAACACGCATCAGCGATCAAAGTGGACGAGGATAATGATGTCATACTTTTCTATCATTCTTTTTCTTTGCTTTATTTAAATGATAAATAGAAAAAATCGGCGCGGCGTCAATTATCTCTTTGTCGCTTAGCAAACGTAGTGAAAGATGCGAAAAAATAAATGTTACAGAAGATGGCCCACACGTGTAAACACATTTCATCAGCGCATGTGTCACGCTCATAGGCGTATCAGCCGGGGTGCAAGGCGCGGTGCGAGCCCTTTCCACTGAGTAAAGTTGGGGGGGCTGAGCCCCCCACTTTTAATAGTGATCGCTCTTGCTACACGCCGGGGAAATCAACAAGTAAGGTGAAGTTTTCCGTCACAACAGTATCTATTGATTGATTTGTAGGGTTTAACGTCCCAAAACCACCATATGATTATGAGAGACGCCGTATATATAGTGGAGGGCTCCGAAAATTTCGACCACCTGGGGTTCTTTAACGTGCACCCAAATCTGAGCACACGGGCCTACGCACACAACAGTATCTAAAGAACTATCTAAATGATCGACAGCAGAACGTAGGGCTTAACGGCTCAAAATCATCTGCGGTAACCGTTACGTACGGTGTACCACAGGGGAGCGTATTAGGACCTTTGCTTTTCCTGATTTATATTAATAGCATAGTCGATGGTATTTCCTGTCCGATTAAGTTATTCGCAGATGATTGTGTAGTGTTTAGAGTGATTTAATCGTACAAGGATGCTGAAATTCTGCAGCATGATCTGTACCGAATATCAAAGTGGTGCCAAAAACGGAAAATGAGTCTAAACGTCCGTAAATGTTGCTGTGTATCATTCACCAACCGGATTAGTAAACTAGACACAACATACGAAATAAATAATTCAATAATTAGCAATGAATCCTATTATAAGTATCTGGTCGTCTATTTTTCTGACAATTTCAAGTGGAATAAACACATTGACATAACTGTGACCAAGGCAGGCCGGATGCTACACCTCATACGCAGAAATTTTAGGCAAGCTCCACAGACCGTGAAACAAACCCTTTATCTCATGTATGTAAGACCTATTCTAGAGTTTGCTTGCGTAATCTGGGAATCCCATTAGCAATACTTGATTGACGCATTGGAAAAAGTTCAAAACCAAGCAGCCAGATTTGTTAGCAACAACTATAATTCCTTTGAAAGCATCAAAGAAATGAAACAAGCATTGAAATGGGAGACACTGATGGTAAGGAGGCAGAAACTGAGGCTTAAATTTCTTCATTGTATATATTATAATGGAAATGCCATTAACCCTCTTGATTATCTGTTCACACTAACGTACGTCTCTAATCGTCAAGACCATTCACGAAAAATATTGGAATACCGTTATAAAACCCACTCTTTCGGTAGTTCTTTTTTCGTAAAAACAATACAGGAATGGAACCGTCTACCGGATGATCTCGTCAATGAAACTGATAATGAATCCTCTTTTTCTTCCTTGTAACAACTCCTACATTATCACTGCCACTAAGAATGGTTTGCTGTCTCGAAGCGTGTGCGTGTTTACAAATGCATGACTGTGACGTCGTTTTCGCTCACCAATATTCGAGTGTTTTTTTTTTTTTCTTCTCTTAAAATATTTTGAGTGCTGTTTTATTTGTTGAATCTCTTGTTTCGATTGAAAACTACGTAGTCGAACTATTATGTGTACCGCCCCTACGTAATGCCTCACGGCGATGTAGGTGAAATGTAAATAAATAAATAAAATAATTAAACAGTAATCCATGCCAAACACGAAACGCAAAGTCACCCGTTTCATTTGGCGCTTTAGCACACTCGGAACTACCCCGTGTGCACAGATTCGGGCGCCCGTTAAAGAACGCCAGGTGGTAGAAACTTCCGGAGCCCTCCACTATGGCGTCTCTTATAATCACATGGTGGTTTTGGGACGTTAAACCCCGCACATCAATCAATCACACTCGAACCACGTATTCCTTCACTTAGATTTTAGTTCACTCAAAGCTCACTTTAGTTTGTGCTCCTAATCATTTAAAATCGTTATATCTGTATTTAACGTCACTAGTAAGTCAATAGTAACTAAAAAGGGAGATTATTACTGTGTCGCTTTTTTTTCTGTGTTGAAAAGCAGTTTGTTGGTGGTAGTGGGGTCTGCCCCTGAAACTACCGCAAGGATTTGCAGGTCATTTTGATAACGCAAATGATGGAGCACTATTCTGGAGCAAGAAAGGAGGTCAGTAGGAGGCACGTAACGGCTCTTAACCCCGACTGGTTTTCGACGTCCCTCCCGTACACGTTTTGTTCAACACATAGATGTTGCTCGAAATGCCGAGAAAAAAAACTGAGAACGCAAGACTTTCGAACGCGGTATATGCCGCAACCAAACAGAACCGCCGTATCCCCCCCCCCCCCCCACACACACACACAGTGCGTCTCTTGGGTTCACCATTAACAAAGCATACAACGACTTGTGACGTTGTCGTGCGCGCGTCACGTCCATTGTTTCTGCACGTCCTGCTCTGTAATTTGGCGTCGCATAAGCGAAAGTAACAAAGGAATCGCTGCGGCAACCCGTGTTCCGCGGCCTTGTCGAAGGAGCTGCGTCGTTGTCGGTGCTCACTCGGCCATCTGCTCCTCTCCTGGCAGAACTTAATGGCTACTTCCATTACTGTTGCTCCCGGCAAGAAGCGCTGCCGGGGGAAGTGAGGGTAGCCACGTGCGCGTGCCGAGAGGCGTGTTTGCGCGCATGCCGGCAGCCCACGGTCTTGCGCCGGGCACGCGTGCAGCCTGACTTCTCCTGCCTGGGGCGCGACAGATGTTCACTCTGCGGCGCGGTGGCTGCCCGTCCTTGAAAGCCGAAGAACGCCTTCGCCGGCCGGTCAGCGGGTGCGGCGTGAAGTGACCCCCCCCCAAACTCCCTGCGCTCTCCACCTCGGCGCTGCTCGCAAGTACAGCGATGGCTAGAGCTGTACCCTCCTCAGAACCACATCACTTCCTTTCATTACGTGTCTCGTCGAGGTGGCTCCCCCTCGAGACCGGCTTCTCGTGTTGCGTGAGGCAAAATGCGCGTGTGTGTGTGTGCACTTTCTCGGGGTGTGTGCCCCCGCGAGGAAGCCGTCGTGGAGAGTCACGAAGTGCGTTCCCAACGGGACCACGCGTCTGAGGCTGCGCTTCGTGAATCTGCGCGACTTCATAATGTCTGCCGCCGCTAAGATTTTAGAATTTCTAGTGGGAGGGGGGGGGGGCGATAGATTAGAGAAAGGAGAACGTTGTGGCGCGTAACGCAACTGGGTTTGTCCGTCACTGCGGTGTCTCGTAAGTTTCTCCGGGACAGAGGAAATTGGCTTAGAAATGGGCGTGTGTTGGCTTATTTGAATAATCAGAAAGAAAAGTGTTAGAAGAGAAGGATTCAGGGGATAGAGGATATATACTCCACTGTGGGAGAGCGTTGAGCTGCCGAACCAGCACAGACGGTGTTCCTGGCCACCGTAACAATACATCCGCGTATACAATGCGCCAGCATGACGACTGCAAACGTCGAGAACGTTACGTAAGCTACCTAAACTGGAGACCTGCATGCATGAGGTAACGTATACACAGGGGGGTATGCGTTACCTCATGCATACATGCCGGCTGTTTGACTCAGCCAAGCGCTTTGCAAGTCATCTCCAAGTTGTATAGACCAGGGCTGTGCAATTAGCACATCAGTTTGTGGATGTCATTCTTGTTTGAGCCGCTGGATGGAAAATAATGTCGTGAGCCATATATAGGGCTTTCACCTGAGTAAGTTTTCTACCGTGTTAGCTAGTGAGTTGCTGTGTTGTTTCGGCAATATCTCGCGTCTGGTCGCGCTTCTTGTGGCAGCGCAACTCTTCCCGTGCGCACGCACGAGGCAATAATTGGCTATAAATACATGGGAAGAAGTGTGTTCGGCGAGGAGACGTTTTTTGTGTGTGTGTGTGGAACGAGCACTCTCTTACACGTATACTTTATACCGTTGGAACCACGTAGCGCATGTACACTGAGATGAGATGGAGAAAGAGCTGAGATGGAATTATCTCAGCTCCTTCAAAGAAAGATTTGCAAACGGAGCAGTTGGTCTCACTATTCATTTCATCTTATGGCAACACACATCAAAAACAACGATGAAACGGACGCATGAAGATTGTCCTGCATACAGAAATGCTGAACTTCAACTGAGTTGTAAGTTCAGCGCTTACGTATGTATGTCCATCTTTATGTGTCTGTTTTGCCGTCGCTTTTGATGCGCGTTGCCTAACCTATCACGAACCGAATAGCCCACCAGTGCGTCTTAATCAATAATCGTACCCGAGAAAAAAAAAGCAAAGCAAAAATTACGGGGTTCTCATCTGAAGGTGCATAACATGTTAACACACCCGTGAAAACGGCAGCTGACCCCTTGGTCATTGATTGATTGATATGTGGGGTTTAGCGTCCCAAAACCACCATTTGATTATGAGAGACGCCGTAGTGGAGGGCTCCGGAAATTTCGACCACCTGGAGTTCTTTAACGTGCACCCAAATATGAGTACACGGGCCTACAACATTTCCGCCTCCATCGGAAATGCAGCCGCCACAGCCGGGATTCGAACCCGCGACCTGCTGGTCAGCAGCCGAGTACCTTAGCCACTAGACCACCGTGGCGGGGCGACCCCTAGGTCATACGGGGAAGCGAATGACCAGGAGTGGAAAACCCAAACGTATACACACACACACAAAAAAAAACAACAACTGGCACGCGCTCGGCGCCCGTACATGCGGGTCACCCGTGTCCGATCTGCGGCCGTAGGTGCGTCATCCGTCAAAGTGGCTCCGCGAACACCCAACGTGCGGTATAAACCGCGCCGATCTGCTCCACTGGAGTGAGCCCGCTGTGTGCATACCCGGGGATACCGCGAACGCGCCGGCGTTTTCTCGGAGAGTGTTGCGGCGGCTGACCACTGTTCCTCCCGTACATTTGTGCGTGCAGGGACACGGCGGGCCAGGAGCGGTTCCGCACCCTGACCACGGCCTACTACCGAGGAGCCATGGTGAGTGCGTCTCTCTGTGTGTGGCAGCAGTTTCCGCGTTAGCTCCTGCGGCGCCGTTGTGAGCTTGCACGTGCGCGGGTGTGCCAGCCGGAAGAGGGCAACGGGGGTGCATCCCATTTGAGGGGCAACCTACCCGCACCTGCAAATGACGCTCGTGCCAGTCTGTTCACATGCGTGTTTAGACCAATTCTTTCACAGGGTGCGCAGAGGCACGTGGTAGGTATGTTGCGGATACGTAAACAGTGCAAACTACGAGGACGAAACGAGCGCCTACGACAGGGCTCAACGGCACAAGTGTCAAACGCTCGTGGCATCCTGCGCGCGACAATTCCGTCGCAGTGCACCTGACGTTTGCACTGCGACGGAATTGTCGCGCCGCTTAACACAGTACGACATTAATCGTTTTGCGGTGCCTGTGCGTTTCTAATTAATCGAGAAAAAGGTTCATAAAGGATATTGCTTAGCTAGTCATCTATATTTCGTACCGCTCGTTACCTTTTTCGTTAATGCTGTCAAATCATTGTTCCTCTTTAATTTCTTTATTTAGCCGGCTATCTTGTTGTTAGTTACTCAGTCAATCAATTAATAAATCAAACAATCAATTATCTAATTGTTTGATTGATAAATGAGTCATTTATTTATCTTGTTTGTTTGTTTGTTTGTTTTGTTTACCCTGAAGACATCACTCAAAGAGTGCTTCACTTCGGTCACTTGAGATGTGCAGCTCCGCGCAACAAATCGCCAGCCACATATCGTTCAAAGCGTGCATTCCCGCCATCAAGATGCGACCGACTACACCTATAAAAGAATAAATATATCAGTGTGCAGATGTTAACAACGCCAATATCCATCTTGAAATGGTCAATGCATCAGCAAGCGACACGTGGTTTTGAAGAAGTAGTTTCACTGTTGTGCTCTTGCTGCGCACACCGATCTCAGTTACAGATCTTGTATTCCGGCGGTGCGTATCACTAATCGAAGCAATTTGCTTTGTGCGGCGCAACGCTCCATCCCTCCCTCTTTGTTCTCCTTTTCCACGGCGTAGGCTTGAAATCTTTGTGCCAATGGAAAAGCGTTTGTGCACCTCACGGAGGCGCGCTCATATATATATATAATATATATATATATAATATATATATATATATATAATATATATATATAATTATATATATATATATATGGGTGGCTTTATGGACATTGTTGAAAGGTTGGCATTCTTCGTGATGCACTAATTGTTGGGTTCTCAGGTAATATACACGGCAATGTGCGAAGAAATATGCACCCAAATATCTACTGTAAAACACTGCGTCGTCACAATTCAGTTCCGGATTTGATGATAACGCGGCAGTTCGTACCGCGGGCCAGAAAGGCACCCCCAAGTGCGAAATCTTATCTGGGAAGTAGCTCGCATAGTTTTCCAATTGGGGGGGGGGGGGGGGGACGAATGTTTAAATTATTTGTGTGTATTCGTCTGTTTGTATGTATACAGATGCAAAATTAAAATGTTTTGGGCGCGTGTCATCAGTCCGGAAAGCCACACGAGCCCCTCTACAATTCTTCAGGGCAACATTGCTGCGTAATCGCCTGTGAAAGCAGCACTGTTATATATGTGCGGTGTGTGTTATGTGCAATGTGTATCTCCTCCTCCTCTCTCCCCATTACTCCCTCATTTTTCTCTCCCCCCGTGTAGGGTAGCAAGCTGGATTTAGGCCCGTTTAGTCTAGCTAAACTCCCTACCTTTCTGATATTCTTTCTTTCTCTCTCTCTCTCTTTAAATATCGTAGGGGGCGGTGTTCAACCCCTCAACCACCTAGCTACAGCAATGATGGGGTCCGGCGACATTCCGAGACGTGTGCCGTCATGGGAAAAAAATAAAAATAGAGCAAGAGAGAAAGAAAGTTTATAACAGTACTACGGGGCCAAGCTCCATCGGTCGCTATAGTAAAACGCGCATCCGGTGAGCGCAAATCCGGCTCCGACGGAGAAAGGTGGAGGGAGGGGTGTCATATCAAGCGTGCGGATAGTGGCGGCCCACGACGTCAGCGATGGCGCCTTATCTTCACGTTTCGCGCACGCGTGCTATCGGGGAAAACAATAAAAAGGGTCGCGCCTTTTGCACTGCGTCGTCTTAAACGCGGAACTCTCCACGCCGAAGCGGTCACCCCAGCGACGGGTTGGAAAGCCGCTTATTTGCCGACTGCATACTTCTTTGCAAACACACTCTATTCCGGCCTCGCGGATCATTTGACAAGTCGGCG